AATTCCACTGTTAATAAAAATTTGCGTTTCGATGAGAATAAAAAAAAACAAATGTACATATGATTTGCATATATTATGTTGGTTAGTCATTTAGTTTATTTAAATTATGTATGTCAAATTTATTGTGTTATATTCAACAATTCTTTTTTTTGTCTCGTTAAACAAATTATTCATAGTTAATTTTATGTTTTTAGTTACACGACAATCTTTATTTTGATTAATTAGAAAATTTTTATTTTAAAATATTTTTAAATTTGCTTTGGTTTTTTATGATTAAAATATGTTTTAAAATTGGCTTTATTAATTAATCTTTTAGCTGTGATAGTTTTGAGTCATTTTATTTTGGCATTGAAAATTATTATGAATGATCTAAGCATAATTTGTTAAATTTTATGTTTTTGAGTAAATTCTTTTTTTCCTTCTTTTCTTTTCTTTTTAGTAAAACAATCTTAACTAATTTTTGTAAAAACATACATATGTATGTGGCTAGTTGTTTGCGTTAATATTTCAGAAAACTTGACTATAAAATCAATAATTTTTAAATTTTTTTTTTGTTGAAACTATCATCTACTGAACTGATCAGACTAATTGTGTAATTGACGGCACTATTTCCATTGTAAAAATGCGCTTGGAATTTGTAAAAAAAAAATAAATTTTGTAAATTACATTTTGTAAAAAAAAAATTAAAATTAGGCATCTTTTAACTAGTTAGAAGTCTTTTAATAATCAATAACGCTCTATTAATTTATAATCGAATTGAAAAACTGTGAAAATTTTCATAATATAAATTATTGCTATACGTATTACCACTTATAAATACCTTAACTCAACTATGTAAGGTTACAATAAAATATAATTAATTTTCAATAATTTATTACTAAAAGATGGCGCTTTATTTAATTTTTTACTTTTTTTCAATTTTATATTCTCCTCTTAGTAAAATCATATTAATATGTACATATAAATAAATAAATATTAGTATATTTATTATTGAACCAATATAAATGTTCTATTATGTATTTTTTAATTAAAATTATTTAAGTTCGAAATAAATTAATTATAGAAGAACAATACAAAAGAATTTCTATAAGGTTTTTCAACCTATGCTTATATAAAAGTACAGTTAAAATCTTCATAATTATTTTACCTATGCTATGATATATTGAAACATGTATATATAATCAGAAATAGGTATAGAATGGTTTTGAAATATTATTTATCATGATGAGAATGTATATTGATTGTGTATAGACGTGGTTCGGTTTCTATTTTGTTGTAAAATAGTTAGTTATTTTGCTATACTTAAAACAAAAAGTTAAAACAAAAACTAGATTATCGTATATAACAAACAAGTTCTATACATAGATTTATTTATGCAAAATAATTGAAAAGTCTAAAATACTCAAAAAATATATATATAAAAAATTTTCGAAGTTCCTATTGTATATAACTATTTTTGTCTTTCCTTGAACTCATCACACTATTATTCTTATTTTTTTGTTATTCTAATCTAATTTACCTAACAATAAAAAATATCCTGCTTTTTTATTATTATACAAGTACAGTTTAGTTTTCTATCCCCACTTTTAGATTAATAGAATTTGTATATATATAAATCCTAAATTGTAAAAATGTAAAATATTCTTTTCGTTTTATATTTGCTTTTAGCATTTGATTAAGACTTAGTTAAAGAAGAACTTGAAAAACAATAATTTGCAAATCCATATTTATATGGAGCTCATTATAACAATAATATAATTTTAATATGCAAATCTATCTACATATATATAAATATGCGATATAACATTATTTAGCTTTTTTTTTTGTTATAAGTATTCTATTTTTGTTTTTTGTCCAATATGACCATGATCATTTTTTCATAATGTGATCACATATTATTTTAATTTAAATAATAAAACTATTTCCCATGTAGAAACCCAGAAATGTCGGTCTATTTTATATGCTCTTCGCACGTTTTTTTTTAATTTATATTTTTTAAAATCTAGTTTTAAAGATTTTACTACTCTTATACAATCTGTGTTTGTTATCTACATATATAAAATTTTATTTTAAATTTGTATATGTAGATGTAAAACACAAACGTTTTACATTTTTGATTTTATTTTTTATAATTAAAAACCATTTTAACACCTCGTATTGTAATAAATAGAAATCATAAAGAGAAAATTTAAAGAAAACCTGTGTTCACATTATTATTTCTTTAAATAAAACGAAAAGTAAAAAAAAAAATTTTATACTATTTTGGAAATAAACTAGTTTGAATCTTCACTTATTTGGTTTATTATTCTAATTTGGTTTAGGAAAAAACATTTAATTTTATTCAAATATTTGTTGAAAAATTGTATTTACTATGTATGTACGTTACAAAATATAATCGAAATAATCTACTCTACAACTTATGATATTTGGTTCGATGTTCTCTATCAGTTCTGGTCTAAGAAAATAAAGAATGTTTGATAACGCAAATTTTTATCTTGATATTTATTCATCATTCGAAATTTAAGTATTAAGTAAGGATTCATATGAAATATACACAAATAAGTAATAACTTAAACAAAAATCATACCTTTATCATCTGAAAAATTTGAATAGAACCGTTCAATAAAACTTCGTATCAAATTTAAACACTGCTGCATTCATAGAACTTGCTTATTGAAATTCACAATAGCAATTAAATTAAGAACATCATTATAACAGAATTGGTTACATCTATCGCAAGCATCGACGTATTTAGCATAAAATCGATTAATGTGTCACATTTTATCTCAGAGGGAATATGTTGTATAAACAAATCTAAAAATAGTTTATTATTTTAATGACATAATTTCTTATTTAAAATATAAAATAAAAATTTAAATAATAAAGTGGAAAAAATGAACCAAAAAAAAAAACTAATTCATCTAGCCACAAGTAGAATACAAATAAAATTAAAATTTTCATTGTATTTGTTAAGTTTCAGGATGTTCTAGTTCATTTTAAAAGCGAAGCTGGAAGAACCTGTCTAGAATTTAGAATACAATTTAACAATCTTTGCGTTATTGTATGATTTCAATTATTGAAATAAATTTTTACGAAATCTATTTAGAATAACTGATAGAAATACAAGAATATTAATGTGACTCCTATAAAACTCAAACTGAAAATGGATTTAATTTTCAAGAACTATTTTTCAAACAAAGCGTTTTACAACCTGTATCAATTTATATTGATGTTTATATTGATTATATTGATGTTTTGGTTGGAAAGCTCAAAACTTTAATAGCTATTAATACCGTTGCAAGAATTAAGTTATCTGAACAGTGGGCTCACCAAGGAGTACATAGGTTTCGTACAAGAATCATGGGATTATGGCGGGGGGCAAATCAAGGAACAGCAAGAAAATGAGGGTTGATTTATTCAAATGAATATGATAGACCAACAACAAATAATGCCCCACCCCTCACAGGACGTAGAAAAGCCCGTTGAGTACAGCAGAAAAAAGAATGCAAAACTCATAATCGGCTGTAATGCCAATGCTCATCAGAATGTGTGGGGTAGCACCGACATCAATCCTGGAGGTGAGTTTATATTTGAATTTTTGTGACATAATATGTAATTTAAATATAGCTAACAAAGGTAGTGAACCGATCTTCACAAATAAAATACGTAGAAAAATCTTAAATTTTACAATTTGTAGTTCAGTAAAATCTTGAAACTCAAGCTACTCGACTCTGCTGGAACTACACCATCATTATTAGGCCAATGGTGATGTGCTCCTCTCATTTGATGGCTACTCTGTAGGATAAATCTGATATCTACTTATTAATAATTGATTCTAACATTTAGCAAACATCGTATTTGAATTTATCATGCGATAGAAGAGGTTTTTAAAAGTATCTCCGATATGTATATTTGATCTTGACATTCTTCTCATATGAAAAACCTAATCTTTCCTTAATTATAAACATTATATTTCATTTTAATGCTAAACAATAACTTTTGTAAATAATCTATTCTTTAAATGTGTAATTTATCTCACTTATAAACATTTATATAAGTGCAAAAAAGTAAAAACCAAACAAAAATCCGGAGAACTTTAAGCGGTTTTTAGCAAAATTACCTTTTTCAATATTTATAATTAATTGTGTTCTTTTGAAATATTATGCTTTTAACAGGTAGCACAAATCATTTTAAAAATTATAAGTATAGTATACATTTTCAAGCACCTACTACGTATCTATATTATTAAGTCATTATTTTTTTAATATTAAGTAATATGAGATTTATTGTATTATTTTTAATAATTTGTTAAGTTTTTGTTTGGGTTTATCATTTCCCATTTTTCTTAAATAGAAGGTCGATTATAATATTGATGAGGGTTATTAATCAAAATTAAAAAGAAAAACAACGATAAGTTTTTAAATTATTTTATACACAGTTAACTTTTAATTTACTGTTTAAAGTTCATTCGTTACCATTAATTTGAAATATTACCTTTATTTAATTGTTATTATCTTAAATTTAATTTTGGAACGTGTTTACGATATTTCTTATATTTCACATGGCTTATATTAGATGTCATTAATAATAATAAAATATAAAATGAATTTAATAATAAAAGATAAAATGTGGAAATATTTTACACAAAAGATACAGATGGCAACAGTTGAATTGTTCTCCTGACAAATTCAGTCACAACTAAATTGAAATAAACTTGATATTCGACTAAAACTAAAGGGTCCACCAACTTAATATACCTTGTTGATTATTACAATCAGTTTTAATAATAATTATTTTAATCAGATTGGTTTTTATGACGTGAACAATTTTATATAAAAAAAATACATTTATCAATTAGTTATGAAGTTATGTAAAAAAATACATTTTTCAATTATTAGTTATTTTTTTATTTTCATTAAACATAAATTTTTAGCACTTATAACAATAAATTGTTAAAAATCAATTCAAAAATAGAAACAAAGTATTTACATACATATATTTTAATGTTCAACATATGGATGAGCTTTAGCCCATTCTAAAGCTCTTACAATATAATCTGGTACAGCTGGTACATGTGATCCAGATGGTTGATAACCATTTTCATCGGCAGTATATTGCACTGAAATATGCTCACCTTCTGGGCTAGTCCACTCGAAGACACCTTTGGCAAATTCACCACCTTTACCATTTTCAGATGCAGTTATTCCATTACCAGTTTCATATTCCCAACCATATGAACCATCATCCTTTAAATCATATGACTTCGCTAAAATATCCACGCTATCGGATGGTGGAATTTGTTTTACAGCTGCATAAGAAAGACTAAAAATTACAGAAAAAATTACCTAAAAAAGAAATAATTAATTTTTTTTTTATATATACATATATGTAACGTATATAATTTTTTAAATTTTAAATTTTTTTTTCAAATTCAATAAACACTAGCCCCGATTTATGTATGTTGCGTGATTGTGTTACATTGAATTGCAAATGTAATCCAAAATAATTTTTTATTTTCTTGTGTAATAAGCAAAGCAATTCTTTTGCTTAAATAAAGAAATATTAACTCACGATAAATTTCATTTTGAATGTTTCAATTGAATGTTTCAGCTAGAACGATCGAATCTAAGTTTTTAATCTAAAATCTTTAGTTTCGTTCCTATTTATATTTGAAAAATAATTCAGATTGGAATTGTACTCTTTTTCTCCTTTTGAATAAATTAATTTTTAAATTAGATTTAAACTTTTAATAAAGAAATTTTCGAAATTCCAAAAACCAGTTCAAGTAATAAACTAAAGTACCCATAATTGTTAGCATCTATAATAAATCACGACTAATTCAGCAAATATAAATTAGAAGTAGGATATAAAAACCCGATCTGGCTGCTACATAATCGATGGCATGCTATATTATGCAAGTTTTGTCACTGGTGAATTAACTTTTAAAACTAGAAATACCTGACAGATGTAAATGAAGATAGCTTCTCTTCGGCTTTAGATGTCGATCGTATTCTGTTTTTTAAAAGAAAAATATTTCGAATTAAATTTTAAACTGGTGAAATTTTGATATCAAAATAATACCTCTCATAAATTGTAAAAATGGTTTATATAAAAATGCTGCAGTAGTTTTCTTTCTTTGAAAACATTATTTGACTGATGAAGAACAAGTTTGTTTTCATTTTCTTCCAAGATGAAATTTCATCACATAGTGGTCGCTATATAAATTTAAATGTATCTATTTAATTTAAAATACCTAATAGGTAAATCATAAATAATTATACAGCTTTTCATCAATATAAATTAATACTTTCGCAAAAGTTCATTATAAAGCGCTATCTTATGAAATTAATTTTGAACCAATAATATTCAGAATTCTAAACTACTAGACATAAGGACTTATCTGATACTGTGTATCAGTATCACAAAAATGTATATGGCTATGTAAATATATAAAAATGGAAAGCACAAAATATGAATTTATTAAAAATCAAAAAAAAAAAAGAAATAAAAAAATAGTTTTTTCAAGGTTGATCCCAATTTTTGAATTGAAAAGAATAAAAATGGAGTCTTTTACTGTTACTATTTTTCCATTCTTCTCCATTTTACTTTTCATTTTTTCCAATATACCCAAAATACGCATGTTAGCTGTTCGAATTAAGAACGTTAGATAACAACCAGTTTTTCAACTTATTTTTTTGGATTATTTTTCTAAGTCATCTTTTAATGAATTTTACATTCATTATGTTAAAAAAAAAAAAAAGATCACGAGAATTATTGCGAAGAAAATTTAAGTTTGAATTATAATTGCATTTTAATAAAAACTTGTTTTTGCTTGAATTATTGCGTACAGATTGATATTATTTGACTGTCACGATTCTCTTGGCAAAAGTGAATAACGAGCCATCCAGAAATAAAACCTCCTTTTATATACATAAGTCTAATTATTTTGGAGCAAACTAAGCAGAAATAATGAAACCTTGTCAAGAATTGAATGACATTTTTACTCGTTTAAATCTATACAATATTTTAATGTGAAATAAAGCAATTGATTATTAATTTTTTTTCTTTATGTCTTAAAGTTGGAATTAAACATTATTTCGTTTATAAAATACATATTTGTTTTTTAAATGATGTTATTAAAATTTGGCTGGCAAATATTCTTATTAAGATACTTACCTTATTTAATTCGCTTCAATTTCATTCGTATTTGTGTTTTTTTATCAATTTGACACTGTAATTATTTAAAACGTTTTTCTTCTTACGTATTTATATCTCAGTATTATTTCCACTTATATTCGACCATATTATGTAATTGTCAAGTCAAGAATTGTCAAACTTCTTTTTTTGTTATACATATACGTACTAAGTTAACTATTGTCAAAATACATTCTTGTTTACATATTACAGAAAAAAATTTACAATATACTTATAAAATATATTAAACAAAATATATTTATATTTCACAAATTCACAATTAATTAAAATTATGTCATTGACAACTTAATAAAAAAGAAACACTGTTTTATTTCATGCTATATAGTAAATACCGCCTACATAGTAAAATTAGCTAAAGTTAAACCACAGTTAAAGGATACTTTTACAAAACTAAATTAATACACAATATTTAAAAAAATTATGATATTTTACCCATTTTAACCTTTTAAAATTGAAAACAAAATCAATACAGAATTTTATTAATTATAACAGAAAATTTAAATCAAAAACTTAAGATTATTAAAAATTAGTTAATTAATTTAATTAATTAATTTATTTTGATTAAGCAAACCAATCACTATACAAGAATGACATTCTTTAGCATTATGTCAACATTGCGTCATTTTTTGACGTTGGTTTATTATAAAAATAAGTGTGAAGAAATAACCGAAAACCTACATACATGCATACAAATATTAATTTTTGTCTTTCTTTTACACTTATTTTTAACTTGAATTTTATATAAAAATAAACGTATGCTGTAAATTAAAAATATATTAAAAAATTCAATAATATTAATAATATGGAATTTATTATTAAAATTTGCAAAAAAAATCAAATATGTAAAAAAAAATGTTAATAAAAGATGCTCTTTAGTCTTTTGTTCTTTTTGTTTTTAATCAATTTGAAAAGTAGTTAAACCGCTAAAATTGCTGTTAAAATTTTTTCACGGTAGTTTACTTAATAAAAGAATATAAATACATATGTAAATATGTATGTATATTCTTTCATGTATGTAATATAGAGCGTTTTTATAAACAATAAAAATAACATTCTCAACTTTAAACTGGAAGTTAGCGTTATTTAACAATGCATAACGTAGAATATTATGTAGAAATTGAGAATATACATAATAATGCAGATAATAGAAAATAAAAAATGGATTCAAAACTATCAATTTGGTTTTGAAACGAAATGTGCAACAATTGACCACAGAATAACAAATTTTGTAGAAAAGCCTTTAGAAGAACGGAAAATATGTTCAACAATATTTCTGGACGTGGTCCAGGCGTTTGATAAAGTTTTGGGTGAAGTCTTGTTATTTAGACTTGAGATATTGATACTTTTTAAATCCGTGTAAAAGTATTTTAATCAAAAATAGTTCAAGTAACTACACGGCAAAAATCGACAAAAAAAATACAAAAAGGTATTAGTGATATAAGTAAGTGGACACATAAATAGAAGACAAAAAATGAAAGTAAATCCGTAAACTCACAAATAAAAATTTAGAAAACCTACCACAATTTAATTTAAATGGTGCTAGAGTATCATAGTAAAAAACCTAGAAAGGGCTTTGAATGTCAAATTCAGATAACAAGAACATATCAAAAAGAAAAAGCTAGAATTTCAAAACGAAAATGGAGATACATAACTATTGGTTCATAGGTTGTGTACCTAAATTGGCAACATACAACAAATTGTTGATATGTAAAAATATACAGCTAGGAAATTAATAGGTCTGGCGATTTTTAACACTTGTATAGAAAAAATTAAATTGTAATTATGTATATTTTGTGTTTCATTGTTACTACTTCCGGTTACTTATGGTACCATATTTTTGTATAAATTTTATGATTTTAAATAATACACAAATTGCTTCAAATTGTTTCAAGATTTAATGTTTTAAACGTCAAATTAAGAATAAATAAATTTATTAATTCTAAAATAATATAATTATGTTGATATTCTAACAATTTATAAAAAATTATGCATACATAAAGGAGATAATTTTTATTAATAATATTATTAATTTTAATAAAATCTAGTTTATAATATAATCCATATAAATGAAAACAATACAAACAAATCTTTTTTTTTATTAGAATTAATTTACAAAATTTTATTCCTGATAAACAATATATTTTAATTTTTGCCTTGTATAAATATGAAAAATTTTATCCTAAAATGCATCAGTTAACATTTTACCGTCAAATTAACTACGATCTACGAAAAAAAAACTAAAAAATCTTCAAAATGAAATTTATTGTAAGGACATTACATAAAACGAATTTTTATTATTAAAATGGATTAAATAAAAAAATATTTAAAAATTTTTATATATAATCAGTGAAAAAATCAAAAAATATGAAAATTATTTGTGAAAAATTGTAAAAATATAACAATTTATTTGAATAAAATTTAAAAAATATAACAAAGAAATTTTGTTGAAGGATTAAATTTTGTAAAAAATTCCATTGATAGTGCTTTTGTGTTACAATTAAAATTTTAATTAAATATAGCGATCCAAAGATTAGGGTTATTTATACCTCATACTTTTTTTCGATTATCCGATAGAAATTTAAAATATTTTTATACATATTCGGGGTATTTCTGGCTGTGCCAGAACAATTTTGATATTAAAAAAACTTTTAAAAATTTTATTAAATTCATTTTTAAAATTTTCTCTTAATTTATCGCTGAATACCTAAATTTCTTTCAATAAACTACAATAAAACTTCATTATTATAATATAATTATATTAATAAGAATTAATAGGATAGTTAATTTTTAAAATAATTCATATGTTTTCTTATTTTTGTCTTATATAGATTGTTTTTATTGCAATTTTTGCTATCACATCGGCTGATGATAATGAAATTTTAAATAAAAATTATGATTTAAAAGAAGATGGTTCATACGGTTGGGAATATGAAACTGGTAACGGAATAAGTGCATCTGAAAATGGTAAAGGTGGTGAATTTGCAAAAGGTGTTTTCGAATGGACTAGTCCAGAAGGTGAACATGTTTCAATTCAATATACAGCTGACGAAAACGGTTATCAACCATCTGGATCACATGTACCAGCTGTACCAGATTATATTGTAAGAGCTTTAGAATACATCAAAGCTCATCCACCACCACCAGAAAAATAAATCAAATTATAAGAATTTTTTTGGTTTATGAAATACATTAAATAATTTATAATACTTATATACATAGTTATTAAATAAATGTTTGCTCTAAAAAAAAAATAATTTCTCTCAGAATACTGTTTTCATAGGTTTTAATAAAATAGGCATTTTTATAAACACAATACTGCAAAACAATAGTGTGATAGTTTTAATACAGTTGTATTAAAACTATTGCTATTTTGAATTTGCAGTATTGTGTTCATGAACAAAAAATGTCGTTTACAAAAAAAATTTAATTATTTTGGGCCAAATAGTGAAAAATTCTATTTTAGGAAAAATAAAAATTAAGAAAAACAAAAAAAGAAAACTGAAACAAAAAGAAATTTTGTTACTTTTAAGTACAAAAATTCATAGACGAATTCCTAAAAAAACTGCAAAAACTATTTAAAAAAAAATACAGCTTATTTAACTGCGCTAGCCATGATAATGTAAATATTTTTGTGATAGGTTAGCAATGTTTATGAACATAAACATAGCGCAGTTTTCTCTATACAATATAGCAATATACTGTTTTTATGAAAAGGCCTAATATGTTTTATATTTACTTGCTTTATGACATATTGCACAAATAAAATTGTATGACCAAAGGCAGATAATTGAGAAATTCGATGATAACTTTAAAAAGCTTATCTTATAAATCTCGCTGATTTTGCATGATTCTCACATTTTTACAGAGAAAATTAGGAAATATTTTACTAACATTCTTATTATTTAATTACAAAGCAATCAATGAATCTCAAAAATAATATTTGTTTAATGTTCTAACTCATAATTAAATGAAGTATAAGTTAATATTCTTCTCCGATTCTTAACCACATTTCTTCTATCAGTAATTTATTAATATATTCAATTAAAATTAACCTAATATATCATAATATAAGATTCTCACCCCATTTTGTCTTATTTAAGTATAAAACGTTATAAAGAAACTTGAATTTCAAAAAAACACAATAGAAAACCAGCTAACCACCTAAAATTCTAATATATTATAATTATCTTGATTATACGTATATATATGTATATATATACATATATATGTATATTGATATGAGTATTATGTTATATTTCAATGTAATAATATTAATAGTAGTTTAAAAATTTTTAATTAATAATTCTTAAAATATTCATTTATTCATAAAATTTGAAGCGGTAAATCCGGATCAATATCGATTGTTATAATATGATTGTTATATATGTGTATATACATATATACACATACGTTATATTTATAAATATATTATAATTTTATTTATGTATCTAGTTTTTATTGTATTCATAAAAGAACAAATTTTAAAGTCATTATAATGAAAAATAGCCATATAAAAGCTTAAAGATTATTTGAATTAGATCACTCGTCCATATTCTATAATTAAAAAAAACTAAAGAAAAAAATACAAACTATATTTTAATCATTTATAATTCACAGTTAAAAACCAGTCACATGAATAATTATCAGTACATCTTTATTGATGTTTATATCAAATTTTCATCATAATAAAGTATTTTGTATGATAAAATTTTTGAAATAAAGGGACTCCAATCGTTGTCAGAGTTTAGCTCAACTTAATAGAGTACTCGTAATTTCCTAAAACCAGTCAATCTGACTAACCACTAGTTTTGCTTCACCGTATTTTTGAGTTTATAATCCATGAAGGAAGTGCTGGCACAGAACTTTAAGGTAAATTGTTACGTAAAGATTAATGTAAGTTCTATAAGTAGTAGGGCTCTACTAATATTCACATGCTGCTCCGAATGTACTCTATGAATAGAACAATAATCACACTCATTTTTACCAACTTTTTGTTAATTGATGACACAATAATCACACCCTTTTCTTAGACTAAATCAATTCTCCTCGCGTTATTTATTACTTATTGCAAGATGAAAGTATTGATGTTATATACGTAAGTCAAATTAAAAATGCGTTTATGCTAATATTTAATATTTTATTCTTTGAAAACATGTCATTGAAACATTTGTTATTTTAATTAGCTACATATGTACATATGTGTTAATTTTTTTTATTTAGAAATAAAAAATTTTTTTGGTTTGTATAAAAGAAAAAAAAGAAAAATTAATTTGCAGAATTTTTGATGTTTGTCTAACAAAAGAATAACCTTGAGAATTTTACCTAAAAATCAAAAAATTTTATGACCTAATAAGTTATCATAAATTTTCGTTTTCTTTATATTTTTTTTTTTATTATATTGTTAATTTGTACGCATAAAAAGAAATTATATAATGAAAAATAAGTACATATAGGAAAAAACTTAAAAAATGGACATAGAAACAAAGGAAAAAAGTAGAAAAAACATAAATTAAAAAAAGTATATGATACCAGTGATATGGTTACAAGAAAACGAATGTGCACCTTACCAGTGCCAAAGCTGAACACAAAGACTACAACTCACCCTCCTCTCCTTCTCCTCGTTAAAGTACCTATCGCTCAGATACCTTGTGAAAAATTAGTGTGCAGACCTCCCGAGAGATCGATGCTCTTTAAAATCTAATAAATTCATGTTTTATCAAAAATATTTATTCGAAATAAAATTAAAACAATTGAATTTTTGTAATACACAAAATAAATAATCTATTTATTTTCTGTTTTTCTTATTTAACACATTTTTGTTTTTTTTGTTTCAGTTTATTATAAAGACTAGTTTCTTACTTGAGACTTAATAAATTATAACAATTATGATATATTAAACATAATTATCCAATTCTAATTAAAAAAAAAAAGAAACCGCAAAATAAAAAACTTCTAAGATAAGAAATTTTCCATTATCACAATTCCTTTAATTTTATTAAAATTATTTATTGTTCAGCTGATGGATGAGCTTTAATCCATTCTAAAGCACGTACAATATATTCTGGGATTTGTGGAACATGTGATCCAGATGGTTGATAACCGTTTTCATCGGCAGTATATTGAAGAACAATATGTTCGCCTTCAGGGCTAGTCCATTCAGCAGCACCTTTAGCAAATTCACCACCTTTACCATTTTCTGATTGACTGATACCATTGGCAGCTTCAAATTCCCATCCATATGAACCATCTTCATTTAAATCAAATGATTTTGATAAAATACCAGAATCATCACCAGCTGCAGCTGCACTTGCAGCAGCTTTTGATGCTAATGGTGATGCTGGAGCACGAGCAGCAGCAATAGCAACGCAAGCACATAATACAATCTTTAATGTAAAAGCAAAAATCAAAAATTAATAATTGAAATTTTAAACTTTTTTAATCACATTCTATTTTCAGCACGATTTTTTTTAATTTAACTAATTATTCTACAAAAAAATCATTTTAAATTTAAAAAGAACAAAATTAAAAAATGTCCTTACTAAGAATTTCATTTTAATTTATTTTTAATGAAATTTATGAACACAACACAAAATTTTTTGGTAAAGTCCCAAGTAATGATCACTTTAGATCTTCAAAATTGAATCTGATAATTTTCGACCAGGTGAATTCGATATTTATACAAATCTAGAAAAATTTTAAAAATCTAGAAATTTTTTTTCCTTCTTCTATACCAAAAAATGATTATTAATTTCGATTTCCTAATATTAGATTGGATCGAACAAGTTTCTGTTATAATTTTTGTCTTCGCCTTTTTTTTCTTTTTTTTTGTTGTAATTTTCTGAATTTCGTCTCATAGGTACTATTATTAATTTTTGCAAATTAAAAATTTTTATTAGATTGTCCAAAAGAATATTTTAATTCAAGAAAATAATAATAATAACAATAAAAATTAAAAGCAGATGAGACTAATTCCATTAAAAAATTTATGCTCAAATTATTATTATTAATTTATGATAATAAAAAAAATTAACTGGTTAAGAAAAGCTAATATTTTAATAGATAAAAAGAACCAACTACTAGAAGAGTAACAACAATGTTATAAAATATAAAAAAAATGTTATAGAAAATGGAAACGAGAGAGAGACGCGTAAGACAAGAAAATTTAAAGCAGATTATCGCACCTTTCGACCACCATTATCAAGCCACAAATCACCAAATCAAACACAATAGAATTTTTGTATACATATACACATGGACGTGTGTTCATTTTATTATCCTAAATGTGATTCACAATTATTATAATTTTGTATTGTTATACAGATGAATTATTGGACAGATATTTAATATTTAATTATAACTCTTTCGAAATATTGAGACCAGTTTTAATTTTTAAAAGTTTTTACATAACTTTTATTGTTTAGTTTCTTTTCTTTTATTTTCTATAGTAAACAACCGTTTCCTTAAAACGCAATTTTTAAACAAAAGTTGAATACACTTGCGATTCATTTTTAACACATTGTTAACTCGAAAATGATTTATTAAAATTATGAATTTGATTTGTTGATATATTTGCTGCTAGGATTAATGTCAATTCTCATAATTTGTAATTCACTTTTATTGATGAAATTTGAATATTTAATGAAATTTGAATAATAGTTTTAGAAAATAAATTAGAAAATACTAATTAAGTTCTAAAGCATATTGCATTATCAAAAGACCCACCATATAATTTTGAATTTCAAATTATGCGAATGCTTTTTAATAAACACTTTTATGTCTCTTATGTTTGTAGGTTTTCACAGACAAACTTATTGTAATAAACAAGATATATAAAACAATGAATATCCATAAACATACGTTAATGTATCTCAACTTTTCTTTACTGCTAAAAGAAAAATGCTAATCCTGATATAACGCGCTTTTAATACAACTTTCATAAATATAAATATACAAAAGAAAATTTAAAATTGTGTAGCGGTAAATAAACAAAAATCCTACCTACAATAAATTAATCAACAGGTTATCGGTCATCAAAGTGTTAACATAACTTACAAGCCATCATTTAAAACAAAAATAACTAATTTCCCAATTTTTTTTTTCTGTTTAAAATTTAATTAATTTAGATGATCTTTTTTTGTTTTCAATTTTAATTTTTTTTTTTTATTGTATTTTATGTTAACAGTAACTTTTCTATTAATTTTTACCTTCATTGATAAATTGATCATCAATGAAATTACCTTGTAAGAAAAAAAGTTACGTTTTTTTATAATTAAATAATTAACAGAAAAGTATTATACCTTTTTTATTTTGTTTAGTTTTTTTAAAACTTTTTGTTAAATTTCACGTTTTCCTATTAGCACTTTTTCTGTTTTTTCTTTTGTTTCAAAAACAAAAGTAGTAGTTTTTATTACTTTTATGGATTTGTTTGCAATAATTAATAATTTGACATGAAGATCCCATAGATCTCATTCATTTAATCTTTAATAAGTACAAATTTTTTTTTTTTGTTGTCTAAGTTGTATGACAAGTCTTAAAAATAATCACGAATGGATAATTCGATTTAATTTTTTATTTACCAAATTAATATTCAATAATTTCAACATGAAAACAGAAAATAAAGTTAATTTCTTTAAAATAATTTTCAAGGTTTTAAAGTATTATATATACAAATGTAATATACATACGCGTACATATAAAATTTGACACATATTATTTAAAAAGTAAACCTATACAATTCATAAGATAAAGTTAAAAAAAATTAAGAAAGAAAAATTTGCAATGTTAAAGAATATGTATTATACATATACATATATATACACACATATGAACTGTCCTAAAGTAATTTAATTTCAAAATCAAAATATGAATCCAAATTTAGAAATTTCGAAACATAATTTAAGAACATAATACTCTGGAATATCTTACAAAAATATTAGGATATAAAATGAAAAAGAAATACTTTTTCTCTTGCATAAATCATTACTACTAAAAATAATTAATAAAACAATTGTATTAAAAAATATAATGTGTAATTAATAATAACTCACAATTATATGCTAATATTTAATTTCGGTATAACAATTACTAAATTTCCATATCGCGAATAAGAGGTACCTACATATATATACAGCAATCCCTCCTATAACGTAATTTTTGGGACCGAAAAATTTTTACGTTAAGTGAAATTACATTATAGGAGGTCCAACTAAACTAATATGACTAAAATGTATATACATACATATGTATGTATGTACTTGATATTTGCCTAAACTAGTAAGTTGTCTGTTGGTAAAGAAAGAAATTTAAATGAAAAAAAAAATAGATTATTGCATATTAAATTATTTTAAAATTACGTAAAACGAGGTAAAAATTACATTAAGTGAAAATAGGTAGGAAAAATAAAATTTACATAATTATATCGAAATTAGATAGTAAGATGTTACGTTACAGGAGGGATTGCTGTATATATAAAATACTTCAAAATCGTCGTAGTTCTCTTATTATGTAATTCTATAGTCAACATAATTTATAAGAACTTAAAACAAGTTTTTTTTTTTGTTATTGTGACTTCATCATTGTTATACCATTCAAAATGCACTCCCAAAAATGTAAAAAATTTTTTTAAATTTCGAATGTATTATATGGTATGTTATTAAAAGTGCTGGCGCTTTTAAAACAGAATTGTAATATTGATTCGTAATATGTTATTTATAATGTTAGTGTGTTTTTCAAATAACATAAATTTTGATTAAAATTTTCAAAATATCATTTATTGTATTCTTCAAATTATTCAAGGTGATTTCAACTCTCAAAATAATTAATACATAACATTAAACCAAATAAAAACTGTCATAATATGATGAGGTTAAATTAGTTTCAATAATTAGCATAGGATCAATAAAAACTTATTTAACCAAATATTTTAATTGCTAAAAGTAGCTTTTCTAATGTTTAATATATATAATACGTTTTGTTTTTATGTCGAACACTGATGAATATTGGATGAGAAAGAGACCAAATAAATCAATTAAATTAATTCAGTACAAACTGTCAAGTTTTTAGATAAACACCTAAATATCTGGCAAATCAATTTTAAAAATTTAATAATTCAACTTTATATTTTTAATCCAACTATGTTCTTATAGTTTTCAAGTTGATCTGGTCACCTCTACTTGACTCTATCGTCCAATAGGTTCTTTGACATAGGTCAAAGTTTTTGCTGTGTTGAAAGCTTATATCTTTCATTTTTGATAAAACCGTGACAAATTGCTAAATTGCTTAGTTTTAATTATTACACTCTGAAAATTGGAGGAAAAGCGTCAGATTAATTTTTTTGAAATAAATAATTTATTTGTTTTTTTTTGATATTTTCTAATTTTTTTTTCTTTAGAAGTTCACAATTCATAATAATGTATGTTTAATAAAAATTTATAACAAAATAATAATAACTAAAAGGAGCTTTGCCCTCTTTTCTTATTTTTTTAAAACAGTTTTTGCAAAGTCTTTTTCACATATTATTATTATTGTGATGGGTGAGTTCTAATCCATTCTAATGCACGTGTAATATATTCCGGAATTTGAGGTACATGTGATCCAGATGGCTGATAACCATTTTCATCGGCGGTATATTGTAAAATGATATGTTCACCTTCAGGGCTAGTCCATTCAGCAGCACCTTTAGCATATTGTCCACCTACACCATTTTCTGATGCACTAATACCATTAGCGGTTTCATATTCCCATGCATATGAACCGTCTGGATTAATATCATATGATTGTGCTAAAATACCAGAATCATCACCAGCTGCAGCTAAACGTGCTGCTCCAGCTTTTTGTAATGGTGATTGAGGAGCACGTGCAGCAACAATAGCAATGCATGCGAATAAAGCGATCTAAAATATAAGTGTTATGTTAAAATATTGAGTTCGAGTAATTATTAATCCAAGGAATAAAAAGTATTTTATTATATATAAAACGAAATTTTTAATCCTTACAAAGAATTTCATTTTGATAATAAATTCGTGTAGTTTCTTTTGTTTGTTATGTAATCCAAGATATCTGAACTGCGTCTGATGAATATTTTTATAAAAAAATCTGTATTTATATACAAAAAACATATGCGATACAAATCAAATTTCGATTTCGATTTTTATATTTCTTCTTTTTTAAATTAAATTAAATTCATTTTTGAAATATATTTTTTCGCTTATTATTGGAACTAAAACATAACAAAAACTAAAAAAGAAATAAAGAAAAATTTTTTCTATTTCCTATTCCGATGCTTTCTGTAACTCTTATTCACTTCCAAAAAGTATCATCAAATTTTCTTTTCATAAAATATCATGAAAAAACTAACGAAACTCTTTTATGGTGAGCGTTTAATTTATCTGATAGTGGAATTAAATTTATATTTTCTTTCTCTTTCCATCACTGTTTTTTCTTTGTATTCAACTGTGTTTTGCGGTCAAATTTGTAAGTGAGATGATAAAGTTTTTTTTAATTTTTCTGATACTTTTTGTTTGCTTTTCTTAAAACCTACAAGGTATAATGTTAAATTACATTAGTTGTTGCGAAATTTTGTTAAATTATTTATGACCAAATAATAATAATGAATATCAAATAAGTTTTTCAAGTTGAACGAGACCATTCAGTAACAACATGCTTAATTTTATGGGAAAAATCAATTTTAATTTCCCACTTGATTGATTTATTTAAAAAATTTAAATATCTAAGAACAAATTATTACTTTAGTGTAAAAATTAAATTTTTTCTCATAAAATTTTAAGTTTAGAATTAGATGATCAAATTTAAAATTAAGATATTTTTTTTATATTTATTAGCTGTTAAAAAGAATTTATCATTCATTTAATGTTTATCCATAAAAATAGAACAAGAAAATATTTTATGACCCCAAATGTATGTAAATTTACAAATTTTATCAATTTCAAATATATTGTACGTATATGACCAGAATCAATTAATTTCCATTTGAAAAAAATAAGAATCCAATCTTAAATTTTAGAACTGACTTCGACTTTTCACATCAAACTTTATTTAAAAACTTCTTAAATTTAATATATATAAATATAAATTTAATAATATGCTTAAGTAAACTATGAGTTTCTTAAAATTTGAGATAAACATTATTATTCGAAAACTGGCACTAAAATTATAACATTATAAATGTTAACACCTACATATTATTGACTTAAAAAAGTTAATTACATTAAATATGTAATTAACTGTAATAGTTTTCATTCAAGTTGAAGTTTACAATTTATGCATATAAATATCCATATATTTTTAAAATTTCTGTAATAACATTGTAAAACTATATATATTATTATATATACTACTTATAATTATTACTACTATTATATATTATTATTACTACTACGGTTTAGTTGAAAATTGCAATTCCTAACTTAAAACTAAACAGCACCAATTACAAAGAATATAATTGAATAATATATGGGATTTAAAAATACACTAATATAATATACACTAATACGATATAATAATTTAAATAAATATACCAGTATTATAATAAAATTAGTTATATACGTTATGTAATATTTTAACAAAGTTAAATTAAATCTTAAATCTTATACATATTATTTTTATTTCTCACAATTAACAGTGACAAAGATTATAATTTTAATATTATATTTAAAAAATCCACTATATTTCATTAAAAATGATAAGATTTGAAAAATGAGTAAATTTGAAATTAGAACTGCGTTCTATAAAGTGGTAAAACTCATAAATTTAAGATAATATAAATGTGAGTAGATTTTTTTTTTATTTTATTATTTATGATTTGTGAAATATAATCATAAAAAGATAATGAAATCAATAGTTTTACTTTTAATTTATTCAATAATTTAGATTATATACTTTCAAATAAAACTAGTCCTATTTTAAAAATTATATAATGTAAATAAAGCTTAATGGTAATCTGAACAGTTCTTAACTACTTGCGTTCATCCAGCTTTTCAAAATTGATTAATAATTACTTACTTATTCATATTAAAAATTTTATATCTATTTGTTTTAGTTCTGCTCTATGAGTTCTTTGGAAAATTATTAAGATTTTTACTATTGTTATTAAGTAATGGAAAGCCATACCTCGAAATTAAGAATTTAGTATTTCAATTTTCTTTATGCTTTACTAATAAAAACATACATATATTAATTTAATATTAAAAATGTCTACAATTCAAGACTTTTGAATTCAATTGGTTGGTATTATAGTAAAGTGTATAAACACAAAAATTATAGTTTAGTCTAGACTTATATATTATTGTAGACCTTGCATAATACCTATTTAAATATATATTAAATAGAATCAAGTTCGCCTTTATTATCTTAAAAGAAACTAATTTTGATTATTTTTTTTTTATATATTATGTAATGTACATTAATTTCGTCATAAATTCAACCAAATATTCAACCACCTATATAAGGTAATAATCTAAATTTTTTGATCTAGATTTTTATTATAAAAGTTATAAATAATTTGTATAAAAATCAACAAAACAAAATATATTATTTATAAAGAAGAAGATACAGTCAAAGCCAGCAATAACCAAAATTTGGAAGGTGTAAAGCTAATTTTAATATTCTCTTTATGAATTTTTTTTTGTATGACAACTTGTATTTCTAGATTTGGTCCTACTAAAGCGATCTATCTAAGATTAAATTAATTCGATTTTTTAAATTTTATAAATTATTATTTTTTTTTTTTTTGGTTTTTTATAAATATTAATGTTACAATGGAAATGATTTGTACATATCTGTATTATATTTAAGCTTCTAGTTTGCATAAACAAGCTATTAAAATATTTTTGATTTATTTATTATAATTTTCTTTATTCGCAACAAGACAACAAGAAAATGAATGGTAAATTAACAATTTCTTTCATGATTTTCGAAAAACGTTTCAAATTTTTTTTTTCAAACAATAAATATTTTGTCATAATAATAATTTTAATTTTTTTGTTCTTTTTTAACGTGTGATATCTGAACAATTAAATAATGTTCAGATTCCGGATGAGATTAAAGATCATAAAATAAATTGCTTTGTTTTTCTTTTTTAATTTTTATACTTTTTTAATATAAGATAAAGAATATTGATACAATTCTTTGATTTCATGGTAATTAGATTGTATCAAATATTAAAATGGTTTTTTAATTTTACTCAATCGATTATGATATGTGTTATAATTTCAAAATTACTTTTGTGTTATTGAAAGTTGATATAAAAAATATTTTCTTTTAATATAGCTGCTATATGCTACAAAATTGCTATAGAAAATATAAAGTAAATAATTATAATATATCAAAGCAATTATTGAACTTAAAGTAGTTTGATAGATCAGCGGTCCGCTTTCTGTAGCCATTAATTCTTAATGTGATACTTCATCCGAGCAAGAGAACTTACGAAATATCAAAGTAGTACAAGTTCTCTCTCGTCCGGCCCGTCCTACACTATCGTGGCCGTTAACAGTTCCAATTTATGCATATCATAACTTAGATCCCAATGGTCAACCGCCACTTACAACTGCTTCATACTATAGAATGGGCACCATTATAGATCACAGAATAGTTCAAGACAAACGAATCCTGTTTTCGCTTTGCGCTTAGTTAAAATATTGCGCTTAATAGTTAAGTAGACATTTCTTCATTCAAAAGAGCAGCAAATATATTTCTACCTAAAAAACAATAGTAAGTACACCCAAACTTTTAAGTAATCTATGGTGCGAACTGACATCAAAGACTTTTGATAGGGGTTCATCCTCGGTTTCCTGTACGATCCCAGCTTAGTTTAATCTAGCCTATCCTCTCTTCTGGAAAGACCATAAGATAATGGTGAAATTTATTTTATATTTAACTTATTATATTAAAACATTCGTATATTATACCCTTTTTTAATTATTCATAAATTTTTTAAAAAAAAAAATTTATCTCATAGATTACAGGCCTAATTTAAAATATAATTACGTTTTCCACACAACTTTTACTATGTTAAAATTATTAATATAACAAATGTATTTTGCATAATGCATTATAGTTTTATAATTAAGTATAAAAAAATGTTAATTAATATTTAATTGCAATTTCCTAAAGTAAAATGATTTTGTGATTTGATGATGTTTCACGATAATTTTTATTAGAAATTTTATGAGGAACAAGAATACCAGTTTGCAAAATTATTTCAATATTTCTTTTTATCAATGAAACGCATTTAAATCAGCTTTATTTAAGATGCATAAATATATAACTCATAAAGATCTTTTTGCAGTTAAGTTTAATACTTAACTAAATTTAAACGTTACTAGAATAAAAAAGAGATTACCTTCAAGATTATCTTAATAATTTTCAAAAATATTCGGGAGGAATTAAAATAAAACGATTTCAACTCTTTTATTCTGCTGGAATAGGCCAGCAGGAAAATTTTGTTTTCGGCTTTACAAAACATCATATAAAACAACATAACAAGTTCAACATTATTATGCGATACAACAAATTTAAAGTGTTAGTTTTTTCTATAATACCCTAAAGCTAAAGTATGTATATAGTCAGCTTTTTAAATAATTTGTAATTATTTTCTATTCGACAACATTTATTTTGATTGGACATCAGCTAATTTCTTTTTGTCATACCATACACACATATAATATACATATATCAATTAATATAATATTTACCATATTTTGAAAACTGATTAAAGAGCGTTTTATTATGCTATTCCCAAAGCAAATTAAATAACAGAAATTAATAAAGAGGAAGATGATTCATTATTGTTACCCTAATTAACTAAATGAAGCATAGACAAAAGCTACCAAATTAGTTTTCAATAACAATTCGTCAAAACAATAACGATTAAGATAAATATAAGTTCCCCTTAATAACATTTTAACACGCTGAAATTATAAAATTCTTTTAATTCTTTTTTAAATTTTTTCTTTTCAATTTCAACTATGATTAAATAATTTATTAGATTCTGTTGTACATGTATATATTTACATTTATAC